CGTACGCGGTCTCGGTGCGGCCGCTGAAACGTTTGGTCTCGGAATCCGCGCTCACTTGGGTCAGCCTGTCGATCGACGGTGTTTCGCGCGAGCTCGGTTGCACGTTTTCGTCTTCCAAGGTACAATGTGAAGTTCTTTTTGCCGTACGCGTTGGACCGAAAACCTCACGTGTCGGAAACGTCGCCTGCAGGCTCGGAGTTGGGCTCTTTTCATTTCTTCCAAGTAATGCTATGCGCGAGTTTCCCATGTCGTGACGGCAAAAGAGGGAGAAGGGGCCACAAAGTGATCCCTCGCTATATCGCGCTTCATTTATACGAGCCCTTGATGGAGCGCGGGCCAGGGGCCACCGTCGACATAGCGAGGCCCCGCGCGGGCGCGCTGCGCTCTGGAGGCGGCCATCCTTGGGACAGAAAGCCCCAAAAGGCGCAGGCGGTCGTGTGACCTTACCTCTCAATCACATAAAAGTTGTCCCCGTCATCATCCTGGTCAATGACGTGTTCGCCTTCGGCGCAGTACTTCTCAAACATGGCGTCCAACACTTGCGCCATCTCTTCCTGGGTCGGCAGAGAACGCGACATCGGTCATCCAACGGTCGTCTTCCACTCTCTCGGCAACAGGAAGCACTTGATTTCGGCCCGCATTGTTTATTTTTTTCTTACGTCCTCCGATTGCTCGGTCGGGGCAAGCCCAAATCGGCAAAACCGCATCTCCGCACATTCATCGAGCCCTTTTGTTGAAATTGGTTGACCGTTTTGTTCTGCTTTGAGCAGAGCTAAACGTCGACGGCGTTATTGACGCGTGGGACAAAGGGGGTACTCACAGGCTCCAGATTCTTGAAGAGAAGAATGTCCCGACACGCTTCCTGGAGCCTCTGTCGCTGCTCGTCCGTTTTGGGGTGGGCGACCTGTACGTTCCAATCGGACGCTGATCACTTGGCAGTGCCAACAAACCAAATCTGATTTCTCCTCTCGTTGCCCCGAAACGACGCCGATGCCGAGCGAACATATTTTTCTCGGGCACATGCGCCGAAACGTCCTCGCGAGGACGTCGCGATGCACTTGGAGGCGACGCGCTACCAACGGCGCGCTTGCCTATCGGGCGACTGACTTGTGCGTGCATGATGGGAAAATCAAGCATTGCAGCCGTAAGAAAAGCATGCAATTAAGAATACTGCATATGTCATCATGAAGAATGGCGTTGACATCGATGATTGTGGCAGGATGGCAAAACGGAAACCAGAACATGCTATCATGTTAACCTTCTTGATCCCTTGGTGCGATTTCCCACCTCCTTTGTTGTTGGCTCCGTTTCAACATTTGAAAGCAAGAATGGAGCGTGCCCTTTCAAGTCTTTCCTGTTGACTGTGATTCTCCCTGATGGGTTCTGATCCGCCCCACCTTTGTAAGGCCTTGGGACTTTATTCCACATTAGAGAGAAAGAAAAGAACTTGTGCGCAAATCACGGAGGCCAAATGCCAGAAAATATTTGAACGGACTTGCCGGTCAAAATATTTTTCCTCCGCATTGGCAGCTCTGCGCTTCCATAGTAAGATCGAGTAAGTTCAATATTGTTCAATGACACAAATGAGGAGCAAAAAAAAAAAAAAGGAAAAAGGCTATTGATGACAAGGAGAATAAGGCAGCAAGTCATGTGCTTACCCTCGGCTCTTTCTCCTCATCGTCTTCATCGGGGTTGAAGGCTTCGGCGCACACTGTCCAACAAAAGGGCAGCGTATCAATTTCCATGCGTTTTGGGGGAAAAGAAGATTTGTAGGAAATGGTGAAAAAGGCCACGAAATGAATGAAACTCGCGTCCCAAGGCGCCGCTGCGTCTCTCCATCAAGGACTTTGGACGGAGGACAGAAGGAAAAGGACGGACGCGGTGGTTGTCATGGAGATTTGCCAAGTGGCGACGCGGTTGTCGCCAGAACTCACCCGATGCTCTTCTGATGAATCGGTTTATGATCGGCGCTGGCAAAAGACAAGAGAAATGCACATTGGAGTCAATGGGCAGCTTTTCTCATCCGCACGCAGCGAGCGGGCGCCTGCCTTTTTTTTTCGTTTTGAAAGCTTGACCTCATTTGGATTATTCAGGCGTTTATATGGAGAGCTCCGCGAGGACGCCGCCGCGCGCTTCCAAGTGGCCGCGCGCTCCTCTTCCGAACCAATTTCAATGACGCGCAACACAATGAAGGCACAATGGCCCTCGGTCGGCTCACGAGAGCCGCATCCAAAAAGAGGCACCTGCACAGCAATACATAAGGACGGATTGTTTCCGGCAGTCGGTTTGCCGAAGTGCACGCATCGGTCTGATACCTGTTTTCTCGACAATGTTTGGACCCCCTTGTGCGGCTTCAGTCCACAAAAGAAATGAAACAAACCAAAATGATGCTTTTTCTTGCCTGGTTTGGATGGCTTACGTTGAGAAATAGATATTCAAGCAAGACAACACAATCGAAATATGCTTGCTCGAGGTTTCCCTCGTCCGACATGCTGCGAATTCAAACGATCGGCTCATCAGCAACCTCTGCGGAAAAGCCTGAAAACGAGCTTGAAGCAAGTGTGTTGGGGGGGGGGGGGCTCGAAAACGGCGGCTGCACTCCAAGAGCGCGC